ATGGAATACCGCGAGCTATGGGCCTCCTCCAATATCAACTCCCGAAGCCCATCCACATTGGGCACACAAATCCGGCCCTGCATCCTCAACACACCATCCTCAACAATGGTCACGTCTCTGGCATCATCATGCTGGACCCTGTCCTTAAGGACAAGCAAATGCGGATCATCATACTGGCGCTCTCTGATGCGATCATATAAGGAAGACCGAGAAACCACACAAGCCAACACCCGACTAGGCTCCAAAATATCTAGTCTCACCAATCGATTGGCCAAGGCCTGGACATCAACTGCAAAGGGCCTCTCCCCAACTGGAATGTACGCCAAACTCCCCATACTAACTGCCTTTCGGCTCAAAGCATCGGCCACTACATTGGCCTTCCCCGGGTGATACAGAATGGTAATGTCATAATCCTTAAGTAACTCTAGACACCTCCACTGCCTCAAATTAAGATCCTTTTGCTTGAACAAATTCTGAAGACTGCGATGACCAGTGAATACCTCACAAGATACGCCATACAAGTTGTGCCTCCAAATCTTCAAAGCATGAACTATAGCAGCTAACTCCAAATCATGTACAGGGTAGTTCTTCTCGTGGGGCTTCAACTGACGAGACGCATAAGCAATAACTCTACCCTCCTGCATCAATACACATCCAATCCCAACTCTCGAAGCATCACAATATATAGTATAAGAACCTGAAGCTGATGACAAAACCAATACTGGAGTTGTGGTCAAAGCTGTCTTGAGCCTCTGAAAGCTCTCCTAGCACTCGTCCGACCATACAAATGGAGCACCCTTCTGAGTTAACTTGGTCAAGGGCAATGCAATAGAGGAAAATCCCTGAACAAACCAGCGATAATAACCTGCCAAACCAAGGAAACTACGAATCTCTGTGGCTGAGGTCGGTCTAGGCCAACTCTGAACCGCCTCTATCTTCTTCGGGTCGACCTGAATACCCTCGCTGGACACCACGTGCCCCAAGAAAGCCACTGAACTGAGCCAGAACTCACACTTGGAGAACTTTGCATAAAGCTTCTCCTCCCTTAATCTCTGCAATACAACTCGCAAATGCTGTGCGTGCTCCTCCTGACTACGCGAGTACACCAGAATATCATCAATAAAAATGATAACGAACGAATCCAGATAAGGCCGAAATACACTGTTCATCAAATGCATGAACGCTGCTGGGCATTAGTCAGCCCAAAAGACATAACAAGAAACTCATAGTGGCCATATCTAGTCCTGAAAGCAGTCTTAATAATATCTGAATCCCTGATCTTCAACTGGTGATAGCCCGAATGGAGATCAATCTTGGAGAACACCCTCGCTCCCTGAAGCTGGTCAAACAAATCATCAATGCGAGGCAGAGGGTACTTGTTCTTCACTGTTACTTTGTTCAATTGCCTGTAGTCAATGCACATTCTCATGGTGCCATCCTTCTTCTTCACAAACACAACCGGTGCACCCCACGGTGAGACACTAGGCCGATTGAACCCCTTATCTAGGAGTTCCTGAAGCTGATCCTTCAATTCTTTCAACTCCGCTGGTGCCATACGATATGGCGGAATGGAAATAGGCTGAGTGCCCGGTACCAGGTCAATACCAAAATCGATATCCCTGTCCGGTGGCATGCCCGACAGGTCTGCAAGAAATACATCGGGAAACTCCCTCACAACTGGGACAGAATCAATGCTAGGAGTCTCGGCTCCAACATCTCTCACAAACGCCAAATATAAAAGGAAACCCTTCCCAACCATACGCTGGGCCTTTAAGAATGAAATCACCCTACGAGAAACATAATCAGTCACACCATGCCACTCGATCCTCGGTACACTCGGTATAGCCAAAGTGACTGTCTTAGCATGACAGTCTAGAATAGAATGACATGGAGATAACCAGTCCATGCCCAAAATAACATCAAAATCCACCATGCTCAATAGCAATAGATCAACTCGGGTCTCCAGACCCCCAATAGTCACCAAACATGACCGGTACACATGGTCTACAAACCGGGGTAGATACATGAACAGGTAAAGCAAGACACCCTCGGGACGTACCCAGATGATGAGGAAAATATGAGGACACATAAGAATAGGTGGAACTGGGATCAAATAGACTGAGGCATCTCTGTGGCAGACTGAAATAATACCTGTAATGACGGCAACTGAAGCAATGGCATTTGTCCTGCCCTGAAGAGCATAAAGACGAGCCTGACCACTGTCTGATCGACCTTCACCTCTGGGGCGACCCCTGGCTGCCTGACCCTCACCCCTAGCTAGCTGGGTGGGTGCTGAAGAAACTGGACCAGAAGACGAGGGCTGACCCCTCTGCTGAGATGAGCTAGCAGCACGACGAGGACACTGCCTCCACATATGTCCAAACTCTCCGCACTCATAAAAACTCCCAGGTGCTGGAGAATGGGACTGAAGGGAACCCCTCGCGTCGGAGTGACTAGACGCACTCGGCCTAGAAGAACCCTGAGCAGACGGGGCATGAGATGAACTTTGTGCTGGAAGAGCGCCGAGTGAAGGCTGACTCTGCTGAGAACCATGATAACCACGACCTGAAGATGCCCCACGATACTCGGGATGAGCCGACTGAGCGGGCCTGAAAGAACAACCCCTACCATGCTGGAACTGGCCCCTCGAAGGAGCGCCACTGTAACTGCCAGAACCTCGAGGCCTCTTGGCCTCCCTCTCCTCTCGATCCTGACGGCGAACCGCCTCAATCTCTCGAGCTATGTCGACCACCTCCTCGAATGTAGCACCCAGTACTCTCTCTCTAGTCATAAGGACACGGAGATGGTAGTTAAGGCCATCAACAAATCTCCTGATACGCTCACTATCAGTCGGAACCATCAAAACGGCATGACGAGCCAACTCTGAAAACCTCATCTCATACTGAGACACAGTCATGTCTCCCTGCTGTAGCCACTCAAACTGCCTGCGCAGCTCCTCTCTGCAGGACTGCGGTATATACTTCTCCAAGAAGAGAGTGGAGAACTCCTGCCAAGTCAAAGGTGCTGCACCAGCCGGCCTACGCCTCTTATACGCCTCCCACCATGTGAAGGCAGCCCCAGTAAACTGAAAGGTGGTAAAAGCCACACCACTAGACTCGAGAATCCCTGCTGTACGGAGCATCCACTAACATCTATCAAGAAAACCCTGGGCATCCTCGCCCTCAGCACCACTGAATGTAGGAGGCTGGAGTCTACCAAACCTCTCAAGACGACGCTGCTCATCCTCGGGCATAGCTGGAACCCTGAACTCCTGCACTGGTGCAACTGGCTGGGCTGGAGGTGCCTCTGGAGTCTGTAATCCCTACACTACCTGCTCAGGTGTGCGAGCAGCGGGGGTCTGATTGCCTCCCCCAGCCTGCGAAGTAGCTGCTGCTGTAGTGGCTGAAACGACCTGAGTCAGGCCAGTGCAAACTATCAAAATCTGAGCCAAAGTCTCCTGAAGGCCAGGAATCACAATGGGCACAGCTGGTGCCTGAACTGGTGCTGCTGGAGCCTGATCCTGAGCTGGGGCAACTGGTGGATCAACAGGCGTTGCCCCTGCCGCTCTGCCTCTGCCACGACCACGACCGCGTCCATGGCCTCTGGTGGTCTCACTGGGTGGTACTGGTGGTCGTCCACCTCGTCCGGTAAATCGTGTCCTCACCATCTGTGAGAGAATAGAATAAAGAGAAGTTTAGTACTCGGATCAACAAGTTCGCACGACAGAAATTTCAAGAATGTGGAAATTTTCCTAAAGGTTCTGCAGCCTCTCGAGGATAAGTACAGACGTCTCCGTACCGATCCACGAGACTCTACTAAACCAGCTCATGACTCGTGAGACTTAGTAACCTAGGCTCTGATACCAACTTGTCACGACCCAACTCCCGAACCCGGTCGTGATGGCGCCTCTCGTGAAGACAAGGCCAGCCAGAACAACACAATACCTCTTTTAAAGCAATTAATTAACATTAACAATTCTAACACATGTTTAAGATAACCATAAATGCGGAAACAGCGATAACAACAAGGGGAGACCCTCCCGACATAGCCCAAACCGGGGTGTCACAAGTCATGAGCTACTACAGAGTTTACTTTAAGTCTACAAAGTGTAATATCTGATACAATAGTCTGAAGGAAACATAAATGATGTAAGATAGGGGAGACAAGGGGCTGCGGACGTCAATAACTACCTCGTAACTCCAACTCGCTGCCTGGTCTGGAAGGAATCAGTGCTCAGGAGCGGACTCTGCTATGCCTGAATCTGCACACATGGTGCAGGGAGTAATGTGAGTACTCCGACCCAGTGAGTCATAATAATAAGTAATAACCGAAGGCATGAAAACACATAAGTGCACAAGGCAATTCTATATCAGGCAGTAAATCACTTAAAGCAGTAAAACAGTAATGTTGGCCCAAGATCAGTTGAAGTTTTGAAGAATGACAAACGAACTCAGTAAAGGACCAGGTTCATCTAAGGAGACACAGTTGTTATGGCCCATACACATGAAGTGCACGTGAAGAAGATAAGTCCTTGAGATCAAGCAGCAATATCTTGATGAATATCTTCTGAACTGATCGAAAAGATTGCATATAGGATAAGGAGTTGAAGTCTCCTTATGAAAAGAGAATTACATCCGGATCAAGAATATGGATTAGGAGTTAGAGTTGTTCTTGGACTCGAATTGTCAAGGGATCCACAATTCGAGTTCTTATCAAACTCTGATTACTAACTCTATAAATATAACGATTGTTCTCATTTACAGGTGAATGCACATAAGCAGAAGTTAAGCATATTTGAGAGCAAAAAGATCAAGTCTGATTTGCAAGCAACATATGCGAGATACAAGTGTGCACGTCTGAAGCTACATGAACTAAGATAGAAGAACCAGTTTCATCATTGTGTTTATTCTAAGTCTAGTTCAATTGTAGTAGGTTTTCATATTGTACCTTTCAGCTTT